AAATAAGGCAGTAATTAATGCCAAGTTCTTGCAGACACCAGTCATTTCCGGGTTAAGTGGTGCACTGGCCAGTGAAGTTCAATAACCCTCGGAGGCTGGACCATTTTTACAAGCTCGTCTCGGAGAGCTTCACTTGAGTGCACGGGCTGAGTAGGCGACTGCCATCGCGACACATTTTGGAAGTTGAATGCGTGGCGCAACATGCCCTAAGTCGGGCGACAGTGCTAGTGGCAAGTGGCATGCTTACCACGCGAGCGGTCCGGGGATCAAATCCTGGGTCGTGAGTCGCCGGGCCAACCAAGCCTTCCATCCCTCCGGGGTCGGTTAATTGGTACCAGACTTGTCTGGGAGGATAAAAACACTGACTTGTACATCGGCTGGCCCCCGCAAGTCATTGTATAGGCCACATCGATTTTGAGTTGCAGTTCATTGGACATGAAGGGCTGCAAAGGAACAAACTTCGGCTTGAGACCCACTTCAAAGGCATATATCACGACCGGCGATATCACGATCGCATTGAATTGAACTTATAGATGGAGCGATGGTCACCTTTCGTTGTAAGATTACAATAGCAATCATGGCAGTGCCCGTGGAAAACTGCACGTAATGGACTGCTTAGAAATAACACTATTTTTCGACCGATTGGGCAATGTGGGCGAGTCTACAGTACTGTCCTTGTGTTAGTTGAGTGTTCGTTTCATTTAGGTATTTTTCTCCTTTATGAGTGGACAAACGTGTCTGTCCCACCACAGTTTAATAAAAAGTGTACCGATGTTCGTTCAGAACGTCGAAGGGGCGTGGCTCGTGAGTGGGCGGGTTTTGTGAGGTAGGTTGAGCACTTTGAACCTCACTCTCCACATCAGGAGCTTTTCGAGTGGAGAAGCTGACACATTCACTACTTGATGACAAAGTGACACTGTCAATTCAAAGCGAGCATTGTTCGAGCCTGTCGTCATCACTGCCTTCAATCAATGTTTTTCACAATCATCAGCATTTAATGCAATTCAGTCATTACGAATTCACAGTTCTGGGTTTCGGAACGTACCAATGGATATTAATACAGCAGTGGAGTTGCACACGCTAGCCTCTGTGATGAATATTTGATATGCAATGCTGAGTTCATGAGGTTTGAGGGTGGTAGTGGTGTAGTGACAAGTGGCGCGCTTACCATGCGAGCGGTCCAGGAATCAAACCCAGGGTCGTGAGTCGT